GCCCTACATAAACCTGACCAAACAATGTCTCGACAAGAGTCCCGTGACGATGTTTGACATCTTAGAGGAAAGAGCATGCTCGAGTGTACCTCAAAGGTTGTGTTATGTACATACCATAGGCTTAACTGCTCCACATAGGTTGTGTTATGTACATACCATAGGCTTAACTGCTCCACATAGGTTGTGTTATGTACATACCATAGGCTTAACTGCTCCACATAGGTTGTGTTATGTACATACCATAGGCTTAACTGCTCCACATAGGTTGTGTTATGTACATACCATAGGCTTAACTGCTCCACATAGGTTGTGTTATGTACATACCATAGGCTTAACTGCTCCACATAGGTTGTGTTATGTACATACCATAGGCTTAACTGCTCCACAAAGGTTGTGTTATGTACATACCATAGGCTTAACTGCTCCACATAGGTTGTGTTATGTACATACCATAGGCTTAACTGCTCCACATAGGTTGTGTTATGTACATACCATAGGCTTAACTGCTCCACAAAGGTTTGTGTTATGTACATACCATAGGCTTAACTGCTCCACATAGGTTGTGTTATGTACATACCATAGGCTTAACTGCTCCACAAAGGTTGTGTTATGTACATACCATAGGCTTAACTGCTCCACATTGTGTTATGTACATACCATAGGCTTAACTGCTCCACAAAGGTTGTGTTATGTACATACCATAGGCTTAACTGCTCCACAAAGGTTGTGTTATGTACATACCATAGGCTTAACTGCTCCACAAAGGTTGTGTTATGTACATACCATAGGCTTAACTGCTCCACATAGGTTGTGTTATGTACATACCATAGGCTTAACTGCTCCACATAGGTTGTGTTATGTACATACCATAGGCTTAACTGCTCCACATAGGTTGTGTTATGTACATACCATAGGCTTAACTGCTCCACATAGGTTGTGTTATGTACATACCATAGGCTTAACTGCTCCACATAGGTTGTGTTATGTACATACCATAGGCTTAACTGCTCCACAAAGGTTGTGTTATGTACATACCATAGGCTTAACTGCTCCACAAAGGTTGTGTTATGTACATACCATAGGCTTAACTGCTCCACAAAGGTTGTGTTATGTACATACCATAGGCTTAACTGCTCCACAAAGGTTGTGTTATGTACATACCATAGGCTTAACTGCTCCACATAGGTTGTGTTATGTACATACCATAGGCTTAACTGCTCCACATAGGTTGTGTTATGTACATACCATAGGCTTAACTGCTCCACATAGGTTGTGTTATGTACATACCATAGGCTTAACTGCTCCACAAAGGTTGTGTTATGTACATACCATAGGCTTAACTGCTCCACAAAGGTTGTGTTATGTACATACCATAGGCTTAACTGCTCCACATAGGTTGTGTTATGTACATACCATGGGCTTAACTGCTCCACATAGGTTGTGTTATGTACATACCATAGGCTTAACTGCTCCACATAGGTTGTGTTATGTACATACCATAGGCTTAACTGCTCCACATAGGTTGTGTTATGTACATACCATAGGCTTAACTGCTCCACATAGGTTGTGTTATGTACATACCATGGGCTTAACTGCTCCACATAGGTTGTGTTATGTACATACCATAGGCTTAACTGCTCCACATAGGTTGTGTTATGTACATACCATAGGCTTAACTGCTCCACATAGGTTGTGTTATGTACATACCATAGGCTTAACTGCTCCACATAGGTTGTGTTATGTACATACCATAGGCTTAACTGCTCCACATACAGCCAACATTGACTATTAAAACATTGAAGTCACCTCATGTGGCATGCAGTCTTGTAGAGGGTATATCATCCCTCTGAATCGTTAAGCATAGATCAAGTGTACAAGTATATACAGCAGTTCCATTGGTATCTTTGTCCCAAGTAAGTGGGTAGAAGGGGCTTGGCAGACCATATCACATTGATATTCATGAAGCGGAACTCCATACGAATCAGCAAACAGTGGAAAGCAACCGGTGCCCATGGCAGATGTACTATCCTGAAATCTTATGTTGTCTTGGAAGAAGTCCAGTATTTGTTTTCTTGCACATTTTACACCGATTGTCAATTAATTATTGACTTGATTGTCAACAAGGTAACATACAGGCAATTAATAAGATGCATCTACACGGTATAGAGTATAGAGTATGCCACCTATATCTTCCACGGGTAAACGGTGTACTAAATGTCACACGTGTATAAAATATACTATCTAAAGGTTACACGTGTATACTATATACTAATGTCACACGTGTTTAAAGTATACTATCTATATGTTACACATGTATACTATATACTAATGTCACACGTGTTTAAAGTATACTATCTATATGTTACACATGTATACTATATACTAATGTCACACGTGTTTAAAGTATACTATCTATATGTTACACATGTATACTATATACTAATGTCACATGGATATAGAGTATATTATCTATATGTTACACACATATACTATATACTAATGTCACACTTGTATAAAGTATACTATCTATATGTTACTCATGTATACTATATACTAATGTCACACGTGTATAAAGTATACTATCTATGTGTTACACATGTATACTATATACTAATGTCACACGTGTATAAAGTATACTATCTATATGTTACACATGTATACTATATACTAATGTCACACACGTGTATAAAGTATATTATCTATATGTTACACGTGTATACTATATACTAATGTCACATGGGTATAGAGTATGCTATCTATATGTTACACGTGTATACTATATACTAATGTCACATGGGTATAGAGTATACTATCTATATGTTACACGTGTATACTATATAGTAATGTCACATGGGTATAGAGTATATGTTGTTTTAAGGCATTTAGAAGCTGGACGAACATGACGTTTTATGGATTACAGCATCTTTTTATTCTTTATACGACGTTTCTGAGCTACTTATTGCTCCTTCATCAGGTGCATGCTGAGGCGGTGCACAGAGTGAATATATATAAACAGAACATATTTACACAACGCAATGTATAGTGTCTATACCTTACCCGCGTGTACAGTACTGGCAAACTGAATTCGTGAAAATATTGTGACATTATATACTCATGCCAATAATGGTTGTCCCCCCCTCCCCACCCCAACCCCACACACCACACACCCCCACCCTACACCCCCTCTCGAATTAAAAAAATTGAAGGGGGTGACAACCATTATTGGCATGAGTATATATGAGGACAACCTTGATTAAAAACGTCCTTATCAACCTACACAAGATAACGTCCCAATTGTTAACTTTGCAATTCACCAAGACAGCACAAAACGTGGCGATATTGAAATTTTCTGCAGCTTCGGATCTAAACATGGTGAAAATATTTGTCAAGTGGCGAAAACATGGTCAACATACACTGGAACATTAGAACCTGAGTGCATGATCTCGTTTTATGATACTGTGATCTAATACGCTTGGAACAATATACATGGAGTCCCACAGTGAGAGTTTAATGAAGAGCAGGGGTTGCCGTATCTAACACTGTTAGAGAATAGTTGTGTACACGTGTGCGAAAAACTCATGTTATTAAGTAAGTTAGTGAATGTAAAATGTGTCTATTGTATTCTGCTCGTCACTAATCAACGCAGAACTCTGTTAAGACTCTGGTGTGTCCATTATAGGTTGCATTCCTCCCGGCCATGGTGTATAATAGATCCAGCACATAATGTAGATGTATGAACCCCTACTCCGATAAAACAGAACTTAGAAATGGCTGAACTCGACATACTTCAGTTTCTGTTCGATGTCCATGTCTGCCAAAATTAGGGTGGTTGAGAAGGAGCACTATCATACATAGCAGCTGTTGCTCAGTCCTAGTCAGCAAGTAAGGTCACAGATATTGGGATGGAATGAACCTGTTGACATCATCATGGAACCACCTTGAAGTTTGGCCGAATACTTCCCATGTTAGGTAAAGACGAGTCATTGTGCGACTGAATGAGATGGGGTGAGATGGGGTTTATGGTCGCGTACTTAAGTCTTGTGCTCAAAGCGACTGACGTACTACAACCTCTCTTTATTATCGCTCTCAATTTAGTTCTTTACACATCTCCTCTCAATTAACTAAACCACTTTCTCTTCCTAATTTCGGCTTTTATTTATTTTTTATTATTATGTTTCTAAACGTTTTTATTCTAAATTCAAGGTAGGTTAACGCCCCTTCATTTACATTTGTTTGGGTATGGTGGTTTACCCCTTATTACAAACATATTAATTATTATACTAGCTCCCACCTACCCCGTTGGCGACATTGGCTATAGCCAGAAGCCGACGTTAAACTTGAAATCATCATCACCATCGACTGACGTGCAGGCGTGTCTGTTAGGTGTGTACAGAGCCTTTAAACCTCTCCTGGTTTGTCGCGGCCGGGGATTAAAGCCCAGACTTTCAGTTCTCTGATGATGACACGATCTATCGTCTTGGCCACTGCTAAAGCGGAGACTATATACTATGTGAGACCACTCACTCTGACACAGAGGTCAATGTGTATCACTTACCAAACTGTATGTGTTCTGAAATAGATGTCATCGTGTTTGATAAGCTGCTGTTCTGATTTCACATTCTAATCATTCTTCGCGTAAACTATCGGTAATCGATGTTTAATCGATGATAATCGACGCAACGTTTCTTGTGTGAAATGATGTGTTAATGTTGAGGTGTGGAATTAGATAACTGTTAATGATGTAACAGTTTGTATTTAGCTGAGGTAAATCCCATCCACACTAGGTTTGTCCTCACCCTCTCCATACTGTTCTGCGCTTTACATACACACAGGAAATACAAGAAGCGATAGGAATGGAAATCTACCAATGAAATGCATAATGGGTATTTTTAACAGGAGGTTCTGTAAATAGAATTGAGCGTGACATATGTTGGTAAGACCCGAAATTCACGTGGAAGGGGGCACTAAATGCTTACCCCTACAATGTTTTAACTTTTTAGAACGATGGAACGACAAAATCTAACAGCGGACCCCATGATTAAAGAACCCAGCAAGAAAGGTTCCCTTCTGTTCAAAGTGAAATCCTTTTTGCGAAGGGACGCTCTGCTTCTTCTGACAGTTGCTGGGATTATAGTTGGGTTTGCAGTCGGATTCGGTGTCAGAGAACTGCATCCATCCAAGGACGCCCTCATGTGGATAGGTAAGTTGACATCAAGTCAGTTGCTAAAGGTTGTGTTGGCGTCCTGTAGTGAGGCCCTCAGCTGGACGCCCCTTCCTCACATAGCGTCCATCACAAGATTGTGTTAGTTGAGCATATGCCAACTGTTTAACCTAAATCATAAACACATTTCCATTTGATCTTTAACAGCCGATGATCATAGTAAAAACCACCTCAAAAGGATCCCGCGATCAAACAAATATACATTCTGTAACCAAAATCTGATAATTATTCTGCACACAGTTTTGCACACTTTAAAGCTTAGTTTTGCACCTGTTGACTTATGACTATCATTATTGTAAACATACAGACATAGACGTTCGGTAGTCAGTTATACCAACGTCAACTTCTCTTCTAAACAAACTAAATATGCGTTTACAAGTTCTAAATCAGCTCTTGACGAACTTGTTTTACAATATATTCGACGTGGAAATGTGATTTTCGACATGTTTTGGGGTACCGAGTCGGCATTACTAACACCTAACGGCAGAATCACGGAATGCGGCATGAGAACTGAAATCTATCAAAAGTACCTAATTGTTTTTAGATGTTTTCAAAGTTTACCCAAATCTCGACTGCCTCTTTAACATTCATCAGCAGTTGGGCGTGTCCCTCTTAACATAAGCCCACTCCTGACAGGTCACATAATCCTCAAGAGTTTTCTATGGATGTCAGTTATCACCTCCTTACGTGGCGGGATCGAACGTGTGTACATAGACGCTGATCACTGACCTTGACCCACGCTATGTAGTGGCGCGTGGTCCTGTGCACAGAGCTCAGGTCACGAATCAGTTGAAGTTAAGCAACGTCGAGCTCGGACAATCCTTGGATGGGTGACCGTGTTTGGCAGCTTTACTCCTGAGAGTTTCTAGGACTTCAGTCCTGCCCCACAACGAAGCACATGTGATACATGTGGTCTCACCTTAGGCAAGTGAGTTTGTGCAAATTGCCTCTGTTCACCCAGCAGAAAATGGGTACCCGGTTGGATAAAGTCATGTGACTAATACCTTCTAGCGCCTAACAGGCAGCTTGGGTTATCCGGGGTAATAAGAATCAGATGTTAAGACGTATACCACGAAATATCACGCAGATACACACCGTGTATACGTAGATATATACTACACAGACATAACTCGCTGATATACCCTCCTGATATACCTCTCAGGTATACCACGCAAACATACCACTCAGATATACGCCGCAAACATACCATGCTGATATATACCACTGGGATATACCACAGAGATATACCAGGCTGATATACAACTCATATATACCACGCCGATATACCACTCGGATATACCGCACAAACATACCACAGAGATATACCAGGCTGATATACAACTCATATATACCACGCCAATATATCACTCGGATATACCGCACAAACACACCACAGAGATATACCAGGCTGATATACAACTCATATATACCACGCCAATATACCACTCGGATATACCGCACAAACATACTACAGAGATATACCAGGCTGATATACAACTCATATATACCACGCCAATATACCACTCGGATATACCGCACAAACATACCACAGAGATATAACAGGCTAATATATCTAACAGTAGCTGTGGTCATCAGTGTCCACTACCTTTTTTGCCCTTTATAAATATGACAATATCAGTAGTATCTAAATGGATATAATCTTCATGTTGGGTGGGTTGTTTTGGTTTGTTAGTTGTTTAATGCCACCATCCGCAGTATTCCAGCTATATGGCGGCTGTCCGTAAATAATCGAGTCTGGACCAGACAATCCAGTGATCAATGGCATGAGCATCGATCTAAGCAATTGGGATACAATGACATGTGTCAAAAAAGTCAGCCAGCCTGCCCACCCGATTCCGTTAGTCGCCTCTGACGACAAGTATGGGTTGCTGAAGATTAATTCTAGCCCGGCTCTTCAAATGCCATTGTGTAAGGCAGCCCACATTGATAGAAGGGAGCGTTTAAACCAAGTGCACCACCTACATATACCAAACAAAATGAAACTTTTTATAGTTTCCTCGAGACAAATTGTCTCTGAAAACATTTAGCGCTGTTTAAGTCGGTCCATAAGGGTATTTATTTTGTTTACAGTGTTAAATTCTTATTTCAGGTATGCCAGGAGAGCTGTTTCTACGCATGCTCAGAATGATGATTCTTCCGTTGATTGTCTGCAGCGTTATTTCAGGTAAAATACTAAACTCTTTCAAACTGGCATCTCGGGGGTCATGTCAATCATTGTATTTCAATCCCTACATGGGCACAATGTGTGAAGCCCAGTTCTGGTGTCCCCCGCCGTGATATTGATGGAATATTGCTAAAATCGGTGAAAAACGTCCCTCACTCATTTCAGTCATTGTACGAAGACTAATGCTTATGAACGTGAATAATTTTATGTTCATAAATAAGGTCATTTTCTACTCCTTGTCACACAGGAACTGCATCTCTGGATCCGAAGTCCAATGGGAAAGTTAGTGTCGTAGCTTTCGTCTTCATCGTAGCAACAAACAGTCTGGTCTGTATAGAGGCGATTGCTCTACATTTCATCATTAAACCAGGTAAATTCTAAAATCACGCTTCGTGTAAGATGTAATTGGATAAGATAAACAATAAAATTAATATACAATACATAAATATATAAATGAATAAATAGTTTTCAATTGTACATGTATGTCTTATTAAAATCAATGGCTGAATGTACATAGACTTTTTGATACAGAGAAGCTAAGTGGATGATTGTGTTTCTTAATATTTGTTGAACCTGCAGAGACCAAGATAAATGGTTTTATACGTCATGCAGCTGTTGTAATGATGACGTATATAATTGTGCTGCTGTATTGTTCTGACAGGGTCTGAGCAGTTGAGTGTTGATGAAAGTGTCACTCGAGAGATAATGGAAACTCAGGATATATTCGCCGACATGCTCAGGTAAGTTGCAAGGACGCACTTCGTTGGCGTCTCTTTTTGGTTGAAGTTAGGCATTGTAGGACGACCCAGGACATCATGTTTGCGTCCTGTGTTCGCTCGCTCACATCCTTCATTGTCCTCCCCTCTTTCTTGTTCACACAATGAACTCCTTCCACCCCGACTCAATCAATGGAAGCTGTGGTGAACCACAGAACGTATCTACCAGTTTAGTTCCGGTTGGAAACACACCACGGTTCATTAATACATGTACACACAGAGAATATAGAATATACTTAGTTTCCTTTCACGTGAACAGAAATAGGATGTCACGACCATCGAAGTATCAGTGTGCCGCAGAACATGCTTTTCCAGTTCTTATCTAGTAGATATGTGCACGCTGACATCGACCATGCTGCTTGTTATTTATTCGTAGTTCCCTCTTTTCATCATATCGTCGTTTTAATAGCACCTGCCATTTCCTTCGGGTTGGTTCAAGTTCAAAGTTACCTGAATGTGAAAATACATTAACACATGTGAAGGTCGTGTGTTGAGTTCATATAGTTCCATTTCTAACTGATCTTTCGTGTTTGTGTAATACAGTTCTGTGTATGCTCCTTGTGTCCTGTTGCAGGAACATTGTGCCGGACAACGTGGTGGAAGCGACATTCAGACAGGTGGGTTGTGTTTCCAGTGATCATTCTGATAAGGATTTTACACGCACACAACTGTCGGACGTGAAGTATGCTTTTCACCAATTACATGCACAAATGAATCAATCAGTTTGCAAAAGGAATTACAGTCATAAAACATTCTCCTCAGTTGTACTTTCCCACTGACAGCGATTATCAGTGGGTGGAGTCTCTGGGTGATATGGTCGACTCTCGTCTGTTGTATGTTGAAGCAATGCTCTGTGTTTCCAGGCGGGTCGGGTTCTGACATTAAACACTGTACACTGGGTCTAGACACTTTCCAGGAAGTAAATCATTTACTGTATTTAAGAGAACATTTACCCCGAAGTTGCATCTGTACTTTTTTCAGAATAGTCATAAGTATAGCACCAGTATGTTTTGTAGCTATGTTGAGCTCAATAAAGGAGATGGTTTTGCAATAAGTGAATTGTAATGTGCATGTGCGCACACGTATTTACCACGAATAGTAATGGGTGATGTGCTCTTGTGTGTCTGTGGGGGATGAAAAGGAAAACACAGGATGTCCTGACATCACACAGATGATGCACAGCAAGTCACGAGTGATACAGTAATGTTCTACTGTCAGGGCATTGACTTGATCATTGCAAAAGTTCTTTTATTATTTCGTAGGTACTTTTTGAAATACCTGTGATAAAAACCGATACCTCGCGGATACTCGTGTAATAATCTTTGTGCATATATTACTGAATTGGGAAGGAACGACGTTATGGTATCGAATATGAAGGACACGGAAAGTCTATTGCATGCCGTACATCAATGCTAGTTATGACATAGAGCTGTTTCATGTTTAATAGGGCGCTACACATTTAGAATCTGCTGTGCATGCACATTATGTCGTGTGTTCCATGTGTTGACACAGGCCCAGACACAGTACGCGTCCTCGGTGACGGACGTAGCGAGGAATAACACCAACGCCACTGTCGTAGATGTCGTCACACACGTCACCAAGTCCCTGGGCAAGTCGGACAGTGTTAACGTGCTAGGTGAGACACGCTGAGACCTGGCGGGTGGAGTGATGTTGCCTGGGGCTATCATGGGGTGCATGCAGCTAGTTTGTGTCAAGCTAAATGCTAGAGTGCTTATCTCAAATCGCACTACCTGAACCCTGCGTGGAGTCTACAATAATGAGGCGGACATAAAATATACACTTTTATCAAATAATAAATTGTGATCGTTTAGGAACACAACTATATATTTTACATGATTTGATGCAAGATATATTTATAAGTGATTGTTTCACTACTGACTGACATGAAATATGACGGTATAAATACTCGTATACTTCAAACGAAAATAAAATAATTTTTTTCATTCAACAAATATTTTCAGGATGTGACAATAAACATGTATTCAGTGAGATTAATTGAATGATAATGTTGCATTAAAATGTTCTTTCTGTTTGCACCCGTGAAGATCCGGGTTAGAATTGATCTTCAGCAATCCATGCTTGTCAGGTTCGCTGACTTGGTTGACGCATGTCATCGTATCCCAATTGCGTAATCGATGCTTATGCTGTTATGCTGATCACTGGATTGTCTGGTCCAGACTCGATTAATTACAGTCCGCCGCCATATAGCTGGAACATTGCTGAGTGCGGCGTAAAACTAAACACATTCACTCTTTCTGTTTGTCCCTTTGCTGCCAGCGCCATCTTTATCCTTGAGTTAAAGCAGGTAGCTCCAATCATTCGGCCGAGGTTTCACGAATAATGATAGTGGATCGATTTCAGATCTGGTTCATGTAACTGGGAGAATGAAAGTAAACTAATTACATAAAACTTATTGCTACTGATCTTTGAATATTTTCAGTCTTGTATCTCCTTCTAAGACATGTGTATATGACTTTCTACAGGTCTGATCACAGCTTGCACCATCATCGGCATGGCCGCCAGCGCGCTGAAGGACAAAACCGAGATCTTCCTCAAGTTCTTCTCAGCTGCCACGGAAATCGTTCTTCTGATCCTCAGAAAATTCTTTTGGTAAATACGCGATATGTCCTAGGAAGGCATTAAACCTAAAACAATCTCTCGGTATTCCAAACTGTTCAGCGGTCTAATTAAAAGTCAACGACTTCAAACACCGTTTCAATGTAGTATATACCTAGTTTATAATCATCATCATCATCATCATCATCATGTCTGCGATCTTTCTGTCGTCTAGGGTAGCACCTCTGGGTATAGGGAGCCTCATCGCAGTGTCGGTGGCTGGAGTGAGCAACATCACGGGCACCTTCTCACAGCTGGGGATGTTTGTCGTTGCTGTTACAGTTGGCATTCTGTTTCATTCCTTCATTGTCCTGCCCGCCATCCTGTTTGCACTTACAAGAAGAAATCCCTATGCCTACCTTCTGACAATCATTCGACCCTGTCTCATCGGCTTCGCCTCCACAAGCACGTGAGTGTCGGATTTAGTTAAGACTCCCAGTTGGGATGCCGGGGAAGATGATGTCTCCAGCATCCATGCCGAGAGATGATCAGATAGTCAGCCCAGTGAGCTAGTTATTCGGTATAGTGCTCCACTGAAGTCAGTGTTCATAATTCAGCCCATAGTCAGTCTGAACCAGGTTCTGTTATTTACAGGATGCCATGACACACATGAACGATGACAAACAATTGTTTTACACATTGAAAACAACCAATTTCGATTGAAAAGAACCATATTTTTGTGACGTAAAATGCTGTATGTTTCTGTCAGCAATGTGCAATTGGTGACTATGACCAGTATTCGACAGTCTACTCCATTAGCTTTTATCGTTTCAACAACGTCCGCCCTGCCCATGTGCGAAGTCAACACGAGTTGCCTCCCTTACCCTGTTAGAAATTGCTCTGATGAAATTTTGTCGGGCCGAAAGAGCATTTCAGATTCAGGCAGAACGATATCCCTGTAAATTAATGCTGTATATAAAAAAATAGATACACAAATAAAGAACTTTAACAGCTATTACTTTGCTTCCAGTTCACTGCTGGACAGTCATGCTCTGTTATCTAGCTATTGTTAATACGTGACACACATGTACATATATTGCTGAACCAGAACCAGACTGCCATCGTTGAATGTCTTGTATATGAAGCCTAGTCTATTTACGTCTATTTGTTTGTTTTCTAGAGCTGTGGCCATTCCTGAGATGCTAGAATCATGTGAAGTAAAAAACGGTATCGATTCCCGAGTGAGTCGCTTTGTAATTCCATTCAGCGTCACGCTGAACGCCGATGGCAGCGCCCTCTACATTACGTCAGCAGCGTTATTTATAGCCAACCTAAGTGGTGTGGAGGTCACATCCGGCGTCGTGGCAATGATAGGGTGAGTATCACTGTCCTTGGTAAAGACAACAGTTAAATATTCTGTTATTACATGAATTCTATGGGATTGGCTTCAACCTGGATCCCAGCTGGTTTATGACATTTAAACATCTATTAGGAAATATTAAGTGTCATTTCTTTTGTTTTAAAACAGTGTCAACCGCATAAAATTCCTATAACGGCGTATGGGGCACGGATAGTCAGTACAGATTTGTAGCCCTTTGGTGTGACAGGATCCTGTTGTTGTGAATCGGAGAATCCATGACTCGTCATGACTGTGATTCTTAGTTTGTGAACACAATGCCTGTGCTCATGGACAGGGCAAATGACAGGGCAGAGTCACTGCTGTCTCTCCTGTCAGATGTTGTCAATACTGCATTATGAGTAAAATGCCGTTATTCAATCCTGTTTGTGTAATGTTAACAAAACATAACTCTCTCCCTAACCCGGTGATCTCTTCCATATGTTAGCGAAATATCAGTACCTGTTGCATGTTTCAGTGTGATAACGTCTGTATCAATCCGTCTTCCACGTTTCAGTGTGATAACGTCTGTATCAATCCGTCTTCCATGTTTCAGTGTGATAACGTCTGTATCAATCCGTCTTCCACGATTCAGTGTGATAACTTCTGTATCAATCCGTCTTCCATGTTTCAGTGTGATAACGTCTGTATCAATCCGTCTTCCACGATTCAGTGTGATAGCGTCTGTATCAGTCCGTCTTCCATGTTTCAGTGTGATAACGTCTGTATCAATCCGTCTTCCATGTTTCAGTGTGATAGCGTCTGTATCAATCCGTCTTCCATGTTTCAGTGTGATAGCGTCTGTATCAATCCGTCTTCCATGTTTCAGTGTGATAACTTCTGTATCAGACCGTCTTCCATGTTTCAGTGTGATAACGTCTGTATCAATCCGTCTACCATGTTTCAGTGTGATAGCGTCTGTATCAATCCGTCTTCCACGATTCAGTGTGATAACTTCTTTATCAATCCGTCTTCCCTGTTCAGTGTGATAGCGTCTGTATCAATCCGTCTTCCATGTTTCAGTGTGATAACTTCTGTATCAGTCCGTCTTCCATGTTTCAGTGTGATAACTTCTGTATCAGTCCTTCTTCCCTGTTCAGTGTGATAGCGTCTGTATCAGTCCGTCTTCCATGTTTCAGTGTGATAACTTCTGTATCAGTCCGTCTTCCATGTTTCAGTGTGATAACGTCTGTATCAATCCGTCTTCCATGTTTCAGTGTGATAGCGTCTGTATCAATCCGTCTTCCACGATTCAGTGTGATAACTTCTTTATCAATCCGTCTTCCATGTTTCAGTGTGATAACGTCTGTATCAGTCCTTCTTCCCTGTTCAGTGTGATAACTTCTTTATCAATCCGTCTTCCATGTTTCAGTGTGATAACGTCTGTATCAATCCGTCTTCCATGTTTCAGTGTGATAGCGTCTGTATCAATCCGTCTTCCATGTTTCAGTGTGATAGCGTCTGTATCAATCCGTCTTCCATGTTTCAGTGTGATAACTTCTGTATCAGTCCGTCTTCCATGTTTCAGTGTGATAACGTCTGTATCAATCCGTCTACCATATTTCAGTGTGATAGCGTCTGTATCAATCCGTCTTCCACGATTCACTGTGATAACTTCTTTATCAATCCGTCTTCCCTGTTCAGTGTGATAGCGTCTGTATCAATCCGTCTTCCATGTTTCAGTGTGATAACTTCTGTATCAGTCCGTCTTCCATGTTTCAGTGTGATAACTTCTGTATCAGTCCGTCTTCCCTGTTCAGTGTGATAGCGTCTGTATCAGTCCGTCTTCCATGTTTCAGTGTGATAACTTCTGTATCAGTCCGTCTTCCATGTTTCAGTGTGATAACGTCTGTATCAATCCGTCTTCCATGTTTCAGTGTGATAGCGTCTGTATCAATCCGTCTTCCACGATTCAGTGTGATAACGTCTGTATCAGTCCTTCTTCCCTGTTCAGTGTGATAACTTCTTTATCAATCCGTCTTCCATGTTTCAGTGTGATAACGTCTGTATCAGTCCGTCTTCCATGTTTCAGTGTGATAATGTCTGTATCAGTCCGTCTTCCATGTTTCAGTGTGCCTGTATCAGTCCGCCCTCCATCATTCAGTGTATCAGTCCGTCTACCCTGTTCAGTGTGATTACGTCTCTATCAGTCCGTCTTCCCTGTTCAGTGTGATAACGTCTGTATCAATCCGTCTTCCATGTTTCAGTGTGATAACGTCTGTATCAGTCCGTCTTCCATGTTTCAGTGTGATAATGTCTGTATCAGTCCTTTTCCATGACTCAGTGTGTCTGTATCAGTCCACCCTCCATCATTCAGTGTATCAGTCGGTCTTCCCTGTTCAGTGTGATAACGTTTGTATCAGTCCGCCCTCCATCATTCAGTGTATCAGTCCGTCTTACCTGTTCAGTGTGATAACGTCTGTATCAGTCCGCCCTCCATCATTCAGTGTATCAGTCCGTCTACCATGTTTCAGTGTGATAATGTCTGTGCCAGTCCCTCTTTCATGCTGTTGATGTCCTTTTTTCGCCATGTTTCAGTGTGTTAACAGCTGTAGCAGCAATGGCAATCCCATCCGTCCCAAGTTCCAGCATCGTTACTTTAGTCATCATACTGACGTCCGCCAACATACCTGTTGATCACATCGCTCTTTTGTTTGCAGTCGAGTGGTTCTTGTAAGTCAGCACCTTTACATACATAGCAACTGACACGATGTAATGAAATGCGGTGCAAATACCCAATAAAGTACCCAATGCAAAACGGTGCGTGATAACGATTAATAAATTGGGTGACAGGTGAATAAACCAGCTCCATGTGCCCATTTAATGTATAAACATAACACACACCTTAAGTAATCCACCCGAATAGATTGTGCAAAATGGTGTAAGCCCGTTTACAATGCACTCTGTTGTATCTAGTGTATCCTATGACAGCAGGACACAATGGGACAGAAATCTGAGGATACGTCTCGCTTGAATTCCAACGTTTCTGAAGATAAACAAGCTTTCTTTCCTTTTGATTTCAGGGACCGCATTCGTACACCAACCAACATTGTAAGTCATACTTTCAACGCGGCTGTTACCTACAGGTTCTGCAAAGCCGACCTCCGAGCTCTGGATGAAGCCAGGACGAAAGAGGAGGAAGCAGAGATGACGTCAATTTCTCCTGCATGAACAAATGACAATGATTGATGACACACGTGTACATGAACTCCACAGCATGGAAGGAATACTTACATAGACTTGTGAATACATTAGCATATTTCTGGAAACTTACGTATTCAAACTGTTCACTCTGGATCTGGTTCAGTGGGCGAACAGAATCTGACATCCAGGAATGTTTGTGCAATGACATTACGCTGTATTAAGGAGAAGAAAACTGAATATACCAACCACTCTTAGTACTCGCCTTGTTATAGATACTAATCTGGTGACCTAGGAACCTCTATTCACCACATGTAGGTATCCTTATATACCTGGTCAGTTGCTGACGCTGTATTTAATTGTCAGGTATTGGTCAGAAGTGTTGATATGGGTACGTCAAATAGTCGTATAAAATGCGGACCCGTGATGATATGGGCTTGGATCTGCCTTCAGCAACCCAGGTAACTAAAGGCTCGTGTGTTCAGCCTCGCTGATGCTCATGGTTGAAGTCAGTGTTGTTGGTCCAGACTCCTTACAGACCGCCGTCGTATACATGCAGTTAGAAACTGCTGAGTGCAAAACAAAACTTAAATACGCTTCCTCTATTGATCGAACATTAGTATGTCAGGTGTATTTATATCGTGATTGTCTAGTCAAAACAAATACACTGTTGGCCAAAGCAAAGAAAACACCGATGTGTAAACACCGATGTTTCATGGTGGCTAAACATGAAACACATATGAAATGGTTATTGGATGGCGATGTATTTGATTCGGGGATGATAGTTATGTTTGGAGCCTAAGTTTACCGTACTGCGTAGAATGTATTCCACCTGTTAACGTTTGTGATGTTCAGTGCCGAACAGTTTGCCGGTGATACGTTCTTTTCTCCGTCAGTTTACTCAGTAATTATTTAACCCAAACTCTTGCTTCATATTCCTTTGTATTTCTGGTGGCGTCGACACAAGCGATTATTATATCTGACCATTTCAGTTTCAAAAGCGAATTGAACTTTTAACAAAATGAAATTATGATAAAAACATGCTTTCGGTAATCATGTTTTTGTTAAATAGATCAAAAGCAGCAAACTAAGGTACATATATGTGGTGACGTTATTCCTAGAAACAATAAATCACCTCCAGTATGTTCATACAATGGGGTTTGACAACGGTGGTGGTGTTACGCTATGTCCACTGTCAAATCTAGTTCGATACAACGATGGTTAACTGTACATAAATATTTCACGCTGAACTTTCATGTGTGTTCAATATGTTTCAATTCATATTAATAATGTGTTTATCAAAATGTGATGACTAAAGATAAAAAACCTCCTAGTTTGTGTATGTAGGAAGGAGGAATGTGCCAGATGTCATCTGAGCAGAAGGGCTATAATACCCCCTGTGGTATGGTTTCGAAAGAAGGTACCAGATTGACCTTTTACTATATTCACTTTGTCTATACCGTTGGTGTAGGCCGTCGGGCATGGCACATTATCCACTATAGTATACAGCTCAGTTTAAAACAGCAGGACACACCCAGATCATTAGAACCTACGCTTTTAACTAGCATTGTATATATATTTCATTTCCTTTTCATAGTACTATATTTGTCTTCGCTCGCTGCTTACTTCCTCTGAAAGTATATTTGTATGTTTAGAGTTGACGGGGAAAAGATTTAACACTCAATAGAAGGCTATAAGCCGCTCTTCGCTATACGCTCAGTTTGCTTGAGACATACTAAGCTCCATCCGTATCAGTTTGTGGGTATAATTTGTACATTAAAATGGAAGATAAAAAATATTTACGTGTCATTTGGGACATAGAACGCTTAAATAGGATCCATCTCATCTCTTGTACAACTTAAACAAGGTCCAGGTCATGTGTTGTCTAACTTAAACAGGGTCTATGTCATGTCGTGTACAACTTAAACATGATTCATGTCATGTCTTGTACAACTTAAACAGGGTCCATGTCATGTCTTGTACAACTTAAACAGGGTCTAGGTCATGTCTTGTACAACTTAAACAGGGTCTATGTCATGTCTTGTACAACTTAAACAGGGTCTAGGTCATGTCTTGTACAACTTAAACAGGGTCTATGTCATGTCGTGTACAACTTAAACAGGATTCATGTCATGTCGTGTACAACTTAAACAGGGTCCAGGTCATGTCTTGTACAACTTAAACGGGGTCCATGTCATGTCTTGTACAACTTAAACAGGGTCTAGGTCATGTCTTGTACAACTTAAACAGGATTCATGTCATGTCTTGTACAACTTGAACTGGGTCTAGGTCATGTCCTGTACAACTTAAACAGTGTCCATGTCATGTCTTGTACAACTTAAACAGGGTCCATGTCATGTCTTGTACAACTTAAACAGGGTCCAGGTCATGTGTTGTCTAACTTAAACAGGGTCTATGTCATATCATGTACAACTTAAACAGGGTCCAGGTCATGTCGTGTACAACTTAAACAGGGTCTAGGTCATGTCTTGTACAACTTGAACAGGGTCAAGGTCATGTCTTGTACAACTTAAACAGGGTCCATGTCATGTCTTGTACAACTTAAACAGGGTCTAGGTCATGTCTTGTACAAACAAACAGGGTTCATGTCATGTCTTGTACAACAAACAGGGTCTAGGTCATGTCCTGTACAACATAAACAGTGTCCATGTCATGTCTTGTACAACTTAAACAGGGTCCAGGTCATGTGTTGTCTAACTTAAACAGGGTCTATGTCATATCATGTACAACTTAAACAGGGTCCAGGTCATGTCTTGTACAACTTGAACAGGGTCCAGGTCATGTCTTGTACAACTTAAACAGGGTCAAGGTCATGTCTTGTACAACTTAAACAGGGTCCATGTCATGTCTTGTACAACTTAAACAGGGTCCACGCTTTGTCTTGTACAATTTGAACAGGGTCTATGTCATGTCCTGTATAACTGAAGCGGGATCTCGGGTTAATTCAGCTGACAGCCTGAGCACGTATGACGTCATGCATCATTTTGTCAGTTAGCTTGTAATGCTATAATGTTCGAGTTTCACAAAGGACACTTATGGAAATATTGTCATTGTCAAACTATGGGCACAGGTGGTGTTCAAGACGTGTGTCAGAAAATAGACTTGGTTGCACTTGATTTGGTTGAGCAATCGTTTTCATCACTACATTTTTATAGCAGTACTCATACATGTGGGGAATCGAATCATAATTGGAGTTCAGCTTGCTGGTGCTATGGTGGATACGACGGGCCGAGCCCCGGGTAATACTGTACATGAATTGTAATATGTCTCTATAAATGTATTGTTTTGTCCATATTTGAATCAAAATGTATATTCAACAGCGAATTCAATAAAAGCTATGACTACATATCAATCATGATGATCATTTTTTGCGTATTTCTCACACAGGCCCACCAGGGCATTTAGTGTTTGGTCGAAAGAGGGGTGATCTGACCGAAAGATATAGCAACCTGAGGGGACCGTTAGGGCTGCTTAATTATATTTTGTATGAATATAAAAGTTAAAAAACTAACACGACTTTGACAAGAGGGTGACTTCCAACAGTCGGCTGTTCCACTTCATGTCGGACATTTCAGCAGGTTCAGGCGTTGGTGTCCACATTTCACTACTTTGGGGGGTAAAATATGTTGTGCTCTTTCCACAAAGGATTTCAAAGGAGGTAATGCTACTCCTGGTCAAAATTTGTTACGACATTCAATGCCTTGGTAAAGCTTTCAAAAAGGTTTCACGTGAAAAGTGAAGGACATTTTCAGTGATCTGACACATTGGCAACAAACAACAATTCCTTATTGTAGCATGTATTCCCGTGCTAATCAGGCGGTTGCAACACAGGCATCTAACGTCTTAAAATACAGAAGATAAAAAAGCCTACGAGTAAATACATCAAAGAGAGCTACTACCACCACCACCGACACCCCACGAGACCCATTTACATCATTACATGGGACAGCACTACATCACCACCGACACCCCACGAGACCCAATTACATCACTACATTGGACACCACTACATCACCACCAACACCCCACCAGACCCATTTACATCACAACATGGGACACCACTACACCACCACCAACACCTCACCAGACCCAATTACATCACTACATGGGACAGCACTACGTCACCACCGACACCCCACGAGACCCATTTACATCACAACATGGGACAGCACTACACAAACACCCCCAACCCCCCAACTCCTCACGAGACCCAACTACATCACTACATGGGACACCACTACATCACCACCGACACCCCGCGAGACCAAATTACATCACTACATTGCACACCACTACATCACCACCGACACCTCACGAGACCCATTTACATCATTACACGGGACACCACTACATCACCACCGACACCTCACGAGACCCAACTACATCACTACATGGGACAGCACTACGTCACCACCGACACACCACGAGACCCATTTACATCACTACATGGGACAGCACTACATCACCACCGACACCCCACGAGACCCGTTTACCTCACTACATGGGACAGCACTACATCACCACCGAAACCCCACGAGACCCAATTACATCACTACATTGGACACCACTACATCACCACCGACACCTCACGAGACCCAATTACATCATTACATGGGACAGCACTACATCACCACCGACACCTCACGAGACCCAACTACATCACTACATGGGACACTACTACATCACCACCGAAACCCCACGAGACCCAATTACATCATTACATTGGACAGCACTACATCACCACCGACACCTCACGAGACCCAATTACATCACTATATGGGACAGCACTACATCACAACCGAAACACCACGAGACCCATTTACCTCACTACATGGGACAGAACTACATCACCACCGAAACCCACGAGACCCAATTACATCACTACATTGGACACAACTACATCACCACCGACACCCCACGAGACCCAATTACATCACTACATGGGACACTACTACATCGCCGGCGACACCCGACGAGACGCTTTTACATCACATGGGACAGCACTACGTAACCACCGACACCTCACGAGACCAAATTACATCACTACATGGGACAGCATTACATCACCACCGACACCCCACGAGACCAAATTACATCACTTCATGGGACGGCACTACGTCACCACCGACACCCCACGAGACCCAATTATATTACTACATGGGACAGCACTACATCACCACCGACACCCCACGAGACCCAATTACATCACTTCATGGGACGGCACTACGTCACCACCGACACCCCACGAGACCCAATTATATTACTACATGGCACAGCACTACATCACCACCGACACCCCACGAGACCCAATTACACCAATACATGGGACACCACCACCGACACCCCACGAGACCCACTTACACCACTACATGGGACACCACCACCGACACCCCACGAGACCCAATTACATCACTACATGGGACAGCAGTACATCACCACCGACACTAAACAAGAAACCGCTGCTCTCTATGAGACCAACCATCACCACTACACTGGACAAGACAACCACAGCTAACCTCACCGCCACTCTCTACGAGATCAACCATCACCACTACACTGGACAAGACAACCACAGCTAACCTCACCGCCGCTCTCTACGAGATCAACCATCACCACTACACTGAACAAGACAACCACAGCTAACCTCACCGCCACTCTCTACGAGATCAACCATCACCACTACACTGAACAAGACAACCACAGCTAACCTCACCGCCACTCTCTACGAGATCAACCATCACCACTACACTGGACAAGACAACCACAGCTAACCTCACCGCCACTCTCTACGAGACCAACCATCACCACTACACTGAACAAGACAAGACAACCACAGCTAACCTCACCGCCACTCTCTACGAGATCAACCATCACCACTACACTGGACAAGACAACCACAGCTAACCTCACCAACCACTCTCTACGAGGATCAACCATCACCACACCGCCACTCTCTACGGGACAGAGACAACCAACCACAGCTAACCTCACCGCCACTCTCTACGAGACCAACCATCACCACTACACTGAACAAGACAACCACAGCTAACCTCACTGCCACTCTCTACGAGATCAACCATCACCACTACACTGGACAAGACAACCACAGCTAACCTCACCGCCACTCTCTACGAGATCAACCATCACCACTACACGGGACAAGACAACCACAGCTAACCTCACCGCCACTCTCTACGAGACCAGCCATCACCACTACACTACGCCAGGACAAGACAACCACAGCTAACCTCACCGCCACTCTCTACGCAGGACCAACCATCACCACTACACTGGACAAGACAACCACAGCTAACCTCACCACCACTCTCTACGAGATCAACCATCACCACTACACTGGACAAGACAGCCACAGCTAACCTCACCGCCACTCTCTCTACACGAGATCAGCCATCACCACTATACTGGACAAGACAACCACAGCTTAACCTCACCGCCACTCTCTACGAGACCAACCATCACCACTACACTGAACAAGACAACCACAGCTAACCTCACCGCCTTCCTTTCCTTCCCTGTCTTCCATTCCATATGTCCATATTTATGTCTCTACCATTCTTCGTCTTCCTGTCTGTTCCATTCCATGCTATCCACTGTACATCCTTGTCTGTGTCCGTTATCCTCCACTGTTTCTTCCGTTATTTCCTCCATCCACATGTTTATTTCTCTTTTCACAATTTATCTTTCCTCTCTTCCTGTCTGTCCTCCTGTCGTCCATTCCATCCTCCTCCATTCCATCTCCACCAGTCCTTGTGTCTATGCCATTTGGTCCCTCCTCATTCCGGCCACCATATCATTTCTGTCCTTCTTTCCTTCTCGTTTCCTTTTATTCCACTATTCATGTATTCCTGTCTATATTTATATTATCCATGCCTCTTGTGCCACTCACTGTATTTTTATCCATTGTCCATTCTTCTTCCATCCATATTTCCATTCCTCCATTCCATATTATGTCCATCCTCCTGTGTCTTCCATTCCTTCCTCCACCTCCAGTCCATGTGCTCCTTCCACTTTTCATCCATTGTCCATGCATCCATTGTCCATTCATTGATCCATACTTCCTGTGTCGTTCCTCCTCCATCCTTGTGTCTGTGTGTATCCTTTTCCTCCGTGTTGTATTTCTCCATGTGTGTGTGTCCATTCTTATTATCTGTGTGTCCTTCCCATTCCATGTTGCATGTATTGCCTCCATCCATATTATCCTGTGTCCATTCTCATGTGTGCTTCCATTCCATATTTATTTTCCATCCATTATCTTTGTCTTCCATTCCGAGTTGTCTGTTATTTTCCTTGTGTGTGTGGGTCTTCCGGTGTCTGTGTGTCCATTCTGTGTCCTGTCCGTGTGTCCTTCCTCACATATGTCCATGTGCAGTGTATTTCCATTCCTTCCTGTGTCTGTGTGTCCTTCCATTTTATTCATCCATTTATCCATTGCATCCATATCCTGTGTCCGTCCAGTATCATGTGTGTGCTTCACTTGTACTCGTGTGCTTCTCATCCATTGTATGTGTGTTCCATTCTCATGTGCTCGTCCTTCCTCCGTGTGCTCGTGTGTGTTGGCTCATTTCCATTCCATTGTTCTCGTGTGTGTGTCTGTCCTTGTGTCCTGTGTGTTCCCATGTCTTGTGTTGTCCTTCCATTCTGTGTGCCATTCCTGTGTGTGTCTTGTGTGTGTGTGTGTGTGTGTGTGCTCGTGTGTGCTTCCTTGTGTGTCGTGTGTCCTTCCATGTGTCATGTGTGTGTCTCGTGTGTCTGTCAGTGTGTGTTTCCATGTGCTCGTGTGTCCCATTCCTTGTGTTGTCTCCATGTCGTGTTTCCATTGTGTCTGTGTGTCCTTGTCGTGTCAGTGTGTTGTGTCTTCCATTCCATATCGTGTGTGCTCGTGTGTGTCCATGTTTCCTGTTCATCCATCCATTATCGTGGTATGTGTTTCCCATTCATACATTATCGTGGTATGTTTCCGTTCATATATACATTATCATGTTTCCCATTCATAAGCATTATCGTGGTATGTTTCCCGTTCATACATTATCATGGTGTGTTTCCCCCATTATCATCCTGTTTCATTATCGTGGTATGTTTCCCGTTCATACATTATCGTGGTATGTTTCCCATTCATACATTATCGTGGTATGTTTCCCGTTCATACATTATCGTGGTGCTTGCCCCATTCATACATTATCGTGGTATGTTTCCCATTCATACATTATCGTGGTATGCTTCCGTGTTCATACATTATCGTGGTATGCTTCCGTTCGTACATACATTATCGTGGTATGTTTCCCGTTCATACATTATCGTGGTATGCTTCCATTCATACATTATCGTGGTATGCTTCCC